GGGGAGGAGGGGTTGTGGGGAGGGCAGCTGTTTGCTAATTCTGTGGCTGGCCATCGCCCTACAAAGTGGGATCTGCCAGCGCCCTTTCCCAGGTGGACAAAAAGCGTTAGCTTTTTCCTAAGATGCTGGGAGCTGTGTTTTAATATAGGAAATCAGCAGAATGAGTGTAATCAGGTCCGTCTCCACTCCCAGTTTGCATTAAGCAAAGGTACTTTTGCATCCAACACCAGAGTGGGTTAGAGCCTTTATCGCATATAGTGACCTATCCTCAGGGAAATACGATAGCAAGAAAGAGCAACATGTGTGTATGACATTTTTGTGTATAGTATGCTTGCTTAAGCAATTTAATTTTCCATTGCAATGGACGGGATAGAAGTGTCTGTTCTTTTCTGTGACTCTGAGGACTGGCCTGGGGGGCCATTAGCTGTGCTGCCCTGCCCATGCCTCTGTGGTCTTTGCAAGTGATGCACTCCTTCAGTGAAAATGCAGGCGTGCCATCAGGGTGTCCGACCTCAGACACTTTGTGTATCTGTGAGACTCTGGGTGGAAGAGACTTGGACCTGATCAGCTGAACAAGGTCTGGGTCAACGAAATGTAGAGAGGGAGTGACTGCACTTTTCTTTAACAGTAGTGCTCTCTCTCTCTCTCTCTCTCTCTCTCTCTCTCTCTCTCTCTCTCTCTTCCCCCATCTGTAAATAATCAACTCCCCATACATAATACCCCAAGACAATGGTCCTTCAAAGAACTGCTCAGTTACCTTTGAGGAAGCCATTTGGATACTGAATATTGCTATGGACTTTCAGTGGGGCTTAAAAAGAGGGAGATCACATCATAGAGGTCTCCATACTGCTTGTTACCTGGAAGAGAGCCTATACAAATGGCCGCTTCCTATTAAGATTAAAATCTGGGGACTCCTTGAGAATAGGGGACCTGTCACCAATGTCTCACGTTCCCCGTAGCACCTGGCATAGTGCTAAGCCCTGGCATAGTGCTAAGCCCACCACATAGCCATATGATTCTCAGGGGTTGCAAACTCAGATGCACTCGGGGAGCAGGCACATAGCACCAGCATGTGAACTGGCTGGATGTCAGGTGATAGGGCCTGGTGCAGACCATGGTGAAAGAAGGCAGGCATGTGCTACCCGAACGCACTCAAATTCAAATTCCTTTAAAACCGTGCTGACCAAAAGAAAGTGCTCTTCAATCTGTCTCTGGCCAAATGGCCACACGTGGTGACCCTGTCAATGCAGAATTAATTGCACTGGGTTTTCATCATTCTCACTTCACTCCTCTCATAACTTTGAAGCCCCCTAGGAACCCAAGCATTTCAGCCTCTGCCAGTCTTTCACTTTAAAGGTCCCCTATCTTCATTCTGTGAAACTCCATTTCCTGGGTTCATGCAGATTTCCTTGCTCTCACTTTCTTCTGACCTTTTCTCTCAAAGGTTTTGCCTTGACTTTTTCTCATCCAGGGAGTGACAATGCCAAGCTGTCACTGATGAACAAGTACAAGGATAACATCATTGCCACCAGCCCAGTGGACTCCAACCACCAGCAAGCCACGCTGCTCTCTCACACCTCCAGTAGCCAGAGGAAGCGGATCAACAGCAAGGCCAGAGGTGCCCATTTTCTGACGCTAGGGCTTGTGGGTGGATTCCTTATTATTAGTGGGGGGGGGGCATTGATATCCTCGACCCCCATGCATGGCCAGACGGGGTGTGTTTTGGCACAATTTTTCTGGAGGCCTGTTGAGTGTTACCTAGAAACTTAAATATACAAGTCTCATGACCAAGGCATTTCATCAGCAAGGATTTATCCTTAGAACATAACTGGACAAAGGTGCAAAGATGTGTTTAAAAGGCTGTTCCTCACATTGTTTAAAAGAGAGGACAATCAGAACTAGCTTCAGTGTCCATCAGTAGGGAACTGTTTAACTACCTGCACATGTGTCCGCTGTCCAGGGGATCAGCACGCAGCCATTTATGATGATAATATGCATCTACATTTGTTCATATGGAAAGTTGCCCGCCCGTCCATTGAATGGAAAAAAATGAGGTTGTACAATGGAAAGTGCCCCAGAATGCCATTTTTAAAGGGAGATTAAAAAACGTTTATCTGCTTTTGTATCAGGAAACGAAGGAACGTATAACATCAAATGTTAACAGTTTTTCTCTGACTTAAAGGATTTAGAGGACATCAGCGTTGTTCCCTTTATACACGTTTGTGTATTTTCTTTATTTTTCTCTCTTTTTCACATTGAATATATGTTCATTGAAGAATCAAAAAACAAAACAAATATAATATCCTATAGATATTAAGACATATGCCCCTTAAGACACAACTCCAGTCTCGTATCAATGAGAATCATGACTTGTAATAAGGGAGGCTTCGCTTTCTTCTTCTTCCATCCGCCATCCGTGCATGTCCTCCCTGGCAGGCAGCTGTCAGGAACGGCTCTCCTCGGTGGGGACGTGGGCTGGGTGGAGGCAGGGCTCCAGTGATTGCTGTCATATAAAGGTCCACTTCTCCAATAAACCTGTGTATCAGGAAGCTCCAATCCCTGTCGCTGCTCCTCCCAGATTGTCAGCCAACCTGCTCTCAGTTATATTGATTTTCCCTTGAACTTGCCCAGGAGTTGTTGTCATAAAGACAAGACTCAAGATCTCGTCTTGGACACTCTCCTGTTCATTACAGCTGGTTCCGCCTTCCTGAACCCCGAAGGGGATTCTGGGACAGAGGCAGAAAACGACCCCCAGCTGACCTTCTACACGGACCCCTCGCGGAGCCGGAGACGAAGTAGAGGTAGGAAGGGTGATGGAGGGGCAAAGTGGGGTGAATGGGGCTCCGGGGAGGGAGTGGCACAGGTGCCGGGTCAGGCTGGGGGCTGTGTGGACCAGAGCCAGTTTCTGGGGGAAGGCTTCTTGGACCACAATTGGTGTTTCCTCCTAAGGAAGAACATTTCAGAGAATCATCTCTCCCAGATAATGGCACTCTCAAACAGGTTTCCAAGTTGTTTGAAAGGCTATTTCTTGGTCAGAAGACTCTCAATTCCTTCTGGAAGCCTCAGGAGTCATATTTTGCTCTTTAGACACAGGAAATAAAGTTGATAAAGTGTGTGATATGTGAAAAAAATGGACAGGATATGTACCCTTGTGTACCCAGCAACACTGGCCTTGAAATCAGGAGGGTAGGGATTGGGGGGCAGGGTAATTAAGGAATAATCTATGGCCTGAGAAGTGTGTGTAAGGGTATTTGGCCTTTAATCCCCTCCTGAGTAGAAACACTGGAGCCCAAGCCTCCAAATTCTTTCCTGTCTCCTGGCAGGGTCCAGGTTAGTTCATTCATTCTGCTCAGCGCGAATAAGAGTTGTCTTTCCATGCACCACAGTCTGTGCCACTCCACCTTGATGTTTAGTGGCTTCAGGTGCGACCACTGCAGTTGGGGCTGCCACTTCCTATGACTTGCTGGTATCAGTATCATCACTGAGGGAGGTCTGGTTTCCAGCACCAATCAGCTTCACCATGTACATGCTGTGTGATATTGGATAAGGACAGCAACCTCTCTGAGCCTCAGTTTCCTCACATATTAAATGGGTTAACAATACCTCACATATAGGGCTACAGTCAGGATTAAATTATATTAAAAAGTGTTTTTTACATGATTGGCAAAGTGCTATGAAATCCGTATTGTCGTTGCTATTAGAATTCTCCATGGCATAGTCTCAGATTTCTACACCACTGCATCTTAAAGAATTTTGGACAGTGGTCCCTTGAGATACGTTGGAGGATATTTGAGTGGCATCACATTGGGTTACACTCACTAGCATTTTCCCGAACCAATAATAATCAACCAATGCCCCCCGCACCCCAAACACCTACATATTGGCCCTTTCTACCTCCTCTTCAGTTCCTTTCATACTAAGGACATTCCTCCCCGAGATTGCAAGGACCCCTTTTAATCCCTCATTTCCAGCTTCCTTAGGCTTTGCCGCTATCAGTACAAAACTTCTTCCTATCATTTTCCTCAAGAAATCATCGGGGCTCGGGGCCTCTTCATGTCTGATGCCCCAGCACCCCCAAGGTGAAAATGTGGATTCTCTGATCTTTGTTACATAATCATATGCAGCGAAGAGTCAACCTAGGCTCCTCCAGCCTCAGCCGCACCAAAGCAGGGTGTGTTCTGCTTGAAGAAAAGCCTGTTTAAGAAAATTCATAGTAATGAATCAGAATGAGTTTCTTTGCAGCATAAAACTGTTTCTTTTAAGTACCAAACGCTCCTACTACATCAACTGCTTATTGTTGCTAACTAGACTGTAAGCTTCTAAGGGATGGGCACGTCTAATTTATTTTCCCAAAGTGCCTCGTGGAAGATTTTGCTTGTATAATAGATGCTTGGAAGTGTTTGTTGAATTGAACTGGATACATCAATCAGGCCCCAGCAGTAAATTTTATACCTCACCTGCCATGGGCCAGGCTTTGTGATAGGTGGGCGAAACAGGAAAACATGGCGCAATGATAAGGCTTAATTTAATCATATAAATAAAGTACAATATACACTCAGACGAGAGAACAGTTCATTCTACCGGGCAGCAATAGGAGGCAAAAAAAGGAGAAAATAATTAGACTTGGGTTATATACAACATAAAGAATTTATTGAGAAAGGACAACCTAGGGTAAGGGCATTCCAGTAGAGGAAAGTAGCGTATAAAAAGCCTTGGAGGCACAAAAGAACAGAATATTTTCAAGCAGGTAAAAGTGGTTCAATATGGCAGCTGTAGTCCGGGACATAAATATATAGGCACATGGGGATAGTAGGGATGGAAAACAGGCTAGCTACCAAAGGACCGTGCGTGTGCCATGTCCCTGAGTTTGCAGTTGGTTCTGTAGGTTGTAGGGAATCACTGGGAATTTTGAAGCCAGGTAGAGAGACCGGATGATGGGTTGATGATGCAGAAGAACTAGAGAGACAAGAAGAGGAGGAGCACATTATTGAAATCACATGAGAGCAGCGGCAAGTGCCTGTACACAGTGACAACACTGTGTGATAAGAGGTTTAACAGCAGGGTGCACCGAGGGCTACAGGAATAGCAAGGAAAGAGTGAAAATCGGTTCTTAAATGTTTCAGGGAAGTGTTTACAGGGAGCTGTTGTCTGAGCTGAGACTGGAGGAGTAGGTGTGTACCAGGCTGACAAGGTGGCAAAATGGTATCCTGTGGAGGAGGGAATAATACGTGCAGTCACAGAGACATACATGATAATGGTCTAGTCGGAGAGCCGTAGAGAGTTTACCAGAATGAGGCTTATGATGCAGGCTTGGGGTCTGCTTAGGAAAAGAGGCTGGGAGATCAGGAGAAAGTCCATGGCCTTGACGGAAGGACATGGACCTGACGCTTCAGCTGGACGCATTGAAGGCTTGTAAAGGACATTGCCCTTGCCCACTCTGCCTTGTGCAGGGTCCCCCTAGAATAGTGTGGAGGAAAGGTGAGAGTGGGGGAGGTGGAGGCAGGGAGCCGGGTGGATGGATGTCGCCGTAGTCCAGCTGTGAGATGATAAACGCAGGTAAGGATGGAGAGAAGGGAGGCAAGAGAAGACGTCCGGACACAAAATGAAAAAATGATGTAGTGGCCTTGGTGGTAGGGAGGGCGTGACTTCTGCAAAACAGGGAAGATGCTAGACATGATGAAGTATGGGACTTGAGAAACCAAATAGATGGCAGTGCTGTTCGCTGGACAATGGAGATAGCAAGGGAAGGAGCAGGGTTTGCAGGAAGGTGGGGAGGCCCATTTTGGATTCGCCCTTGAGTGCCCAAGGGACATTGTGGTGGTAGATTTGCTCAGGCCTGGTCTGGGCTGGAGTAGAAATCTATAAGCGTGGGGAAACAGACTCTGTGCTGGAAGGATGCTAGCATGAGTGGAATACCTCCAGGTAGCAAGGGACAGAGGATCCGGAGGCTGCCTGCCACCCTGGCGTCTCTCCATCCCAGCTACTTCAACACTCAGGGATGCCGCTCCCATAAGGCATGGGTGCAGTCATGGACCACACTTTCCCCGTGCTCCTGAGAACAGCAGTTCCAAAGACTCCACTGGCTCTTGCCGGGGCTGTAGTCTCAGCCGAACTTGTGCTTGACCCCGGCTCCACTCCCAGCAGCCGCTTGACCCTGGACTTGCCCCAGACTTCGAGCCTCTCTAGCTCACTGTTCACCTGCGGGCGCTGCCCCATCAGATTGCGGTCATTGTTAAATGACATGAGCCATAAAACCCTGGGTACTGGTGCCTGACACATAATTACACTTCGTCAGTGGTAACTACCGCTCTGAGGTTAATCTCATCAAACCTGTTTTCCTTACCTGTAAAGTGGGTCGTTACTGTGCAGACTCATAGATTTATTATGATGAGCAAATATTACAAATTTTAAAAATGTGTATAAAATCACTTAGCACACGGTCTGCCATAATAGATGCCTTTTAATTGTATCAATAATAAATATTAACATAGACCCTAAGAATATTCCAGAGGATCCACACATTTTGTTGGCAACTTCACTTTCTTCCTTTCCCACATCTGTTCTGCCTTTATTTAAAATCCTCTCCATCAAAAACAAGCAAGCAAACAACACACCAAACAACCCTCCCTTCTGATCCCGGTCCCCACCTCCCTGGGAGTGTTTCTTAATCCACAGCTCTATCTTCTCACTAAGCTTCCATTCAGGGCCTCACCCCTGCAGGACTGGGGAGAGCCTTCTAGAGCAAAAGCATCCTCACCTCATGCAGAGTAGACTTTCCTCTGTTCCTCCTCTCGGCCCTACAGAGTTAAGACTCACCTGTAGGACTCCCACCCATAGAGTAGGTGCAAGCTCCTCAGGCTCCAAAACTTCCTGGGGAGGTGAAGTTTGAGCCCAGGAGTGGAGGGGCTGGTTTGTGAGAGCGCCCTCTGTGAAAAGTGATGGGAAGTGCAGGGAGTTCAAACGTGGGCTTAAAGCAACCCTGCCACCCTTGGGCAAGAGGTCAGAGCACAGCCAGGCGAGTGGATGGGGGAAAGTCCTCCTTGAGGACTTCTCTTGTGAACCCGGCCCAGGGCGACTGCAGAGGACCTGCACACCACTGACCACTGTTGACCCTGAGGGCCGCCAGTTGGTCAAGTCCCCTCTAATTCCAGCCAAGGACATGGTTTTTTGTGAGGATGAAGGTCACTGAGGTCATGCAGCTACACACATTTCTTGTCTGGACTAAGTTTGCCAACTGACCCTCCGTTTGCTCGGCTGGGCAGCAAAAGGCCAAGTCGACCTCTCACTGCCGGGATTTTTACCACCACGCGTCTTGCTTTTGTCTTGCTTTCAGTGGGTTCTCCCCGAAGTCCTGTGAACAAGACCACCTTGACATTGATCAGCATCACCAGCTGTGTGATCGGCCTCGTGTGCTCCTCTCATGTCAGCTGCCCTCTTGTTGTCAAAATTACCCTGCACGTCCCCGAGCACCTGATCGCTGATGGTGAGATGTTTTTTCCTCCCCAAAGAGAAAGATTTCAGGTTAGGCAAGGAAGATATAGAGCAGTCAAGGGTCAACCTATTACTGTAAGTGAGGTGAAAAGAACCCCAGATCAGTAAGGCTTAGGACAAAATTGATTTGTCCACAGGTGAAATCAGAAAGCAAGTTAAAAACAAACAAACAAAAAACTGAACAGATCACTCCTCTTCTCTATGCTCACTCCTATTTGGTTTTCAATAAGCTCTCGTCTTTGTAGGGAAACGCAGAGCAGACTGGATACAGGGAGGCAGACACCAAGATTCTTGTAGCCTTTGAGAGGGGCAAAGCTAAGTGGAGTGGTAGAGGTATTTAAGCATCCGCCATGCTTCAGTTTGTTATGCCCAGGTGAGAAATTCCTAACTGCAGTAACTTGCTCTAAGCCTAGAACTCCATAGCAGTAATTTTCTTTCATCCAGGGGTACCCCAATGTAATGAGGGAACAAAGTAGGTCCTGAGAGTCCCTGAGTTAGAGGTGGGATGGGGCACCACGGCAGTCGATGACATGGCAGGAAGTCCTGGAGGTGCCCAAGCCTGAATCTGCTGATACTTTTCTTGGGGGCTCAGGACAGGTCAGGACTGGTAGGAGAAATGACCTTGGATTTGAACTAATCTGCAGAGCACCCCTTACTCCATCTTCAGTGACGTGTGTGTGCATGTGTGCAAGACGGCGTGTGTGCATGCATACACAGAGATGCCTCCTCTCTCTCCCCCTGCAGGGAGCCGCTTCATCTTGCTGGAGGGGAGCCAGCTGGATGCCAGCGACTGGCTGAACCCTGCCCAAGTGGTGCTCTTCTCTCAACAGAACTCCAGTGGGCCCTGGGCCATGGACCTCTGTGCCCGGCGGCTCCTGGACCCCTGTGAACATCAATGTGACCCCGAAACTGGTAGGCGGGAGCACCGGGCAGCGGGTAACTGTCAGAGTTCATGCCTCTTGCAATCCCCCTCAAAACCCAAGCCATCCTTCCTAATTGTCCCGTTGTGATTGGGAGTCTAGGCCATGCAAGCTGCCAGCATGGCTGGACCCCTGAGCGTGTCGGCCGAAAATGTGGGGTCCTCTTCGGGCAGAAGGCTTGGAAGCATTCTAATTGTAGCCCCACACCAGATAGATCAGTTTCGGATGACCTTCACTGCCCATTTGCCATCCAGTCGGGGGATATCAGCTACTGGGGCTGGACTTTGTATGCATGTTTCTGATAGAAAATTTGGAAAGTCTAGAAAAGCTTATAGAAGAAAATAATAATCATCTATAATTCTATCTCCCCCAGAAGTCATTTTAAAATTTTAATGCCCTCCCTTTCAATCTTTTATCTCTGCATGATTTTTAGAGGCTTGCAAGCACACTAAGTCGAGTAGTTTTCTTGATTTTTTTTTTCACACATTCTACCATTCCAGAACTATTAAATAATCCTCAATGACATAATTTTAATGGCCATTTGGTATTCCATTGTATGTGTATATTATAGCTCATTTAAATAATTCCCCTATTATTTGACATTTAGGATGCTTTAAATTTTTAATTTTTACACATACTATTAAAACGAATGTCTTTCCACATAAATGCAGGACACATTTGAAGCTATTTCCTTCAGATAAATCTCAGAAGAGAGATTCCTGGGCCAAATGGTGTAGATGTCTTGCAGGCTGTTACATTATCAAATGGGGCTGGGTCTCTTCTGAGAGAGGGTCCAAATTCAGGCACCGTATTCACTGGGGCACTCACAGTGCTTCCGGAGCTCCAGGATTCCCAGGAGTAGAGCCCTCATTTCAGGTCGTTTGCACTTTCACTGTAGAAGGGGATCATCTACAGTAGCCTTTAGAAAGATGTTGCTGATAGATTCAGTACCACAGATAACTCCTTCCCAGAGATGTAGTGTGATGCCTTAGAACCAAGGAAGGAGCTATTAGTGATGTCTAAGACCCTCACATAGCTTGTTCCTGGAGTCAGGGGCCAACTTCTCCAGCTCTCTGTACCTTATGCACAGTCCCTCAGCGCCACGCGCACACACACACACACACACACACACACACACACACACGCATGCACACGCACACACACACTCACGCACGCACACACACACACACACTCACACACACACGCACGCACACACACCTACAGATGCATCTTTTTTTAGGTGCTGGGGTACAGGGACATTAGTAGAGTTTGAGTCCAAGAGATCTTGCCCTTCCTGCCATTATAGTTCATGACTGTATCTCTTTGGGGGGGGGGTAGGTTACTGTATCATCTAAAGTTCACCTTTTTAGGTCTAAAAGTTTTAATGTGGGCCCATCACAGAGATTCCAGGCCCCCATATGGAGGAGAAAGTACAGCATTTCAAACATCTGATGTCTAAGACTGTGCTTACTTGCTGCTCCTCCCACGCTGCCAGGCAAACACCAAACCCAACAGATGGGCTCTGCGCTATGCCCAAAACCAGAGTGCTCAGGAGAAAGTGCAAAGCGCTCATCTTAGAGGTGGGGTCTCTCCATGCATCTGAGCTCGTCCCTAGTCCCCCTGCTGACTTGAATTTTGAGACCCTGGGACGATCTCAGTTGTTAAATTCACTTCCGAGAGAAGCGTGATCCCCAGAGGGCCGCAGAAGCTTCTATTGAGGTTTTAAAGATCAGGAAGCACTTTTAATTACAAGTGGAAATAAGGGACTAGCGTTTTCACCTTGGAGGGGTCTTAGAGATAAACTTCCTCCTTACTTGACAGCAGTGTTCAAATTCCCCAGAGAAGCTACGTGACTTGCCCAAAGCCCCACAGCTACCCTAGGCAGAGTCTGTATTCTCTCCATCATGCAATCAGAGCAGAGGTGGGATTTTAAAGCATTGTTCAATTTCCCCAGACATGTCGGATCCAACAAATTTGTCATTCCAAACCATTTAAGCACCCGCCATGACTGAGCATCAGTGCCTCCTGAGCCAGGAGCTCAGGCAGCTGCTTGTCCACACGGAAGCCCCCATCACACCTTCAGTCCCTCTCAGATGTCTCATTTCCCATCCTTGCGGAAAATGGCTTTGGGAAGCCCCTCCCCTGCTAGTGGCTTCCCAGCATCTGTGACAGTTAATGAATTTCCAACTGGAAAGCCGTGGAGGGAGACTTCAAGTTAAGAAGCCAAAGCCCTCAACAGAACTGAGGTGCAACATCTTCATTTTGGGGTAGCAGCTGGGAAATGGCGCTGTTGAGACTTTGCCTTTCATTAATGCTGGAACTGGAAGCCCGCCCCCTCCCTGCCCTGCTGCTTTCCGCACACGGGACGGTGTGGCCATCCCACACGCGCATCAGTAAGAAACGGTGTCACCTCCTACACTCCATCCTAGAGCCTTTCTCCAAAGAGCTGAGTGTGGGAATTGGCTGCGAGTCAAGTTGATGTTATTTTTGCATTCCTCTAGCTAACTCACTTGGAAATGTCATAGTGTTGGGACATGTGCTTTCCCAGCCATGCTGAGGGGTCTGCCCATATGGATGCGTGGAACCGTGCAAGTACACGTGTATACTTCTTCAGACGCACACAAACAAACACACAAACAGGTGCTCAGTCACTGCCAAGGAGCAACCTCTGCTGCCTGGAGGGTTCCTCGGGCATCCTTCCAAAGTATTCCGAAGTTAAGCATGCATTTGCTCATCACCTGCACAGTGGTCCGGAATACCAGGTGAAGTAGGTAGAACAATGGGCCCCCGGAGATGCCCATGTCCTAATCCCCAGAACCCATGAATATGTTATGTTACATGGAAAAGGTGAATTAAAGTTATGGATGGAATTAAGGTCGCTAAACCGCTGGCTTACAAATAACGAGAGTATCCTGGATTAACCAGATTAACCCGATGGACTCCATGTAATCACAAGGGTCCTTGAACGGGGAAGAGGGCGTCAGAAGAGGCCAGAGTGATGCGCTAGGAGGATCCCACCAGCCATTGCTGGCTTTGAAGATGCAGGGAGGGGGCGCAAACCAAAGAGTGGGGGCAGCCTCGAAAGGTGGAAAAGGCAAGGTGACGGTCTCTCTCCTCAGGCTTCCAGCAAGGAAGGCAGACACCTTGATTTTGGCCCAGTGAGACTCACGTCAGACTTCTGACCCACAGAGCTATAAGATAACAAATGTATGTTGTTTTACACCACTAAGTTTGTGGTATTTTTTTTTTATGGAAGCTATAGAAAACTAATATACTAGGGAAGGAGAAAAGGGATCAAGAACAAGCATTGTTGTAGTGCTCCAGCCCAATGAGGGTGGGTTACATAGCCTTGCTGAAGACGCGTCAGGAATCGACGGCAGAGCCTGAGCTGGAGGTAACCTGCCGATCGGTTTTCCATGCCAGCCTCCCTTTTACATTCTAGCAACATGCTATTTGGGAGGAATGTAAGGCACCTAAAGCTCGTAGCTCGATGTCTAGAAGCCCTTTGCCCCCTGCACACTGACTTTCTCTCCCAGGCCCTCCCAGGTTCGGAACCCTAGGCGTGTCCCTGGTCAGGCTGGGCTAGCAGCAAACCATCGGCTGTAAAGCTTAACACCCGGCTGGATCCGGCCTGAGGCTGACTTTCCCTGTACTTCCTAAGGGCTTTTATTGTGGTTGTATGTCTGTTTGATTGACTTTTGATGGCAACACAGACTAATGGGTGTTGGCGACCTCCCTTTCCACCCCGTTCCTGGCCTTTGCTCTGCCATGTGGGCAGCTGTGGAGGCTTCCCACACCTGCTTAATTTCACAGCCCCCATCAGTCCTGGCCACAGACCCTCATTCCATGTTCAAGATACACAGTCTTTATGCATCTACAAGGAACATGGACTACCACCTAAATCCAGTTCTAATCACCACCCAAGATCACCCAAATTCTCTTGGTCCCAGATCTTCCTATAATCTAGTCCCAACCATGTAGAAATGTATAAAGTCTGGGGAGGGACATTGCGCCAGTTCCAGACTCAATGTAGCCCTTCCCGCATTCCGTGCTCTGAGCCACTGCTCTCTCTAGCTTTCCCTAATTTTTTGAACACAATTTGGCAGGGCAGCACAGCTCGCATTTTGTCCCTGCCATTTGGATTGTCCGCTCATTCCAAACTCTCTTTTGTGGCTTGATTGAAGCACCTTCCTTCAGGATGTATTTTTGGAATATTTCCCTCTGTCTGCCCTCCCGGAGTCATGTGGGGCTGTTTGAGCCTGGGCCTGCCTTTTGCCTGATGTCTCCACAGTGGAGGAGATCAGGCAATTAAATGTTACCCAAGTCCAGATGTCTTACAAAGATTCCCCTTTTTAGATGAGGCACACCCAGTTCCATTTAGTGAAAGCCAACAGCTACATGAAGGATAGCAGTGACTCAGGGCTTTTGGCCTTTATCTGTATTTACCTCACAGAAAACTTGTGGTGAGCCCAGTCATCTGAGGAACCCTAGCTCCAAGGTCTTTCTTTAATCCTTCCGTGACATGTGTGCCCCAGTCCTTCATCTGTAGAATGGGGAATGACCAAAGGTGCTGTCCATCATACAAGGTCCCTCAAGGTGTCTGCCTGCAGGGTACCACACACAGATCCGTGGAGCCGTCTCCAGGCTGTGCAGGGTCAGCTCACAGTGGCTTCCTCTCCGGCAGGTGGCTGCCTGTGAGTGTCTTCTGCAGGCACCGTCGTCCTGGTTGGGCACTTTTCCGTGGCCAGGGCACATCTTTCCCTGGACCCTGTGAATGCTGCCACAAAGTCAGCACATCATGTGTTCCCTGCCATCTGTCACAGCAGATGCAGAGACTGTAACACTTCTAGTTAGGAGGGCATCCAACACCCTTGTGGGGTCTTTAAAATTCACAGCTAACAGTCGGAGGCTGTGCTTGCACGAAACCCCTCTTAAAGTCAAGATTTAGCATTGGGTTGCCATAGCAACTTTCCTCATCAAGTCTAAACTCCTTTCCATGTAGATGGCCAAACTGGTTTTGAGGAGAAGTACAGAAAAGGAAAGTTTGGTGGGTTCCGGAAATGAGGATCGTTTGAGAGGCACATTTTGGATATCCTCAAACTCCAGCCTGAGATGTTTGAACATTTCTCTCTTGCTCTGGCTTTGAGCTGCATATGACATTGTATGGAGGAAAGCATTATCTGTTGTCAGCAGTGTCCCCACATAGTAATGAATGATGGAAACCTCATAAGGAGATAATGACTATGAAGGCAATTTGAGAAAGGTAAATGTGCCCTACAAATGGTAGGTATTGGCATCGTTAGGAAAATCAGGCTCTGCTTGAAGTCGGAATTGTTACTGCATTTATTTTTACATGTTTTGTAGTAACTAGATATCAAGTGTGGAGGAAGGATCATGTTTTGTCAGTCCTTAATTCTAGGCAAGGCGTCCAGCCAAGGCCATTCTGAGAGTCAGAGTAATGGGTTTGACAACTTCTTGAAGTTACTTCCATTTTGTTTTTTGTTTTTTGTTTTTTAATATCACCTCATGTCTAATGTCCACAAGGACAACTGGGAAGTGATCTCCTGAAGGGAGAAGCGTAGCTGGGCCTTTGACTCATTAACCGGCTTAAATATCTGCTGCTTGGAGTGAGGCAGTGGTGGTGTGATATATAAATTTAGGGCCGACTAATTAATTTCATTATTTTCCCTTGCACAGTATTTATAAAAGGCCCGCTTGTGTGGGGGAATAAAGCTAACCTTGGTCTTGCCCTTGCATAACTTTACAGTCCAGAGTCCATGCTTTCTTTGGACTTAAAACAGCCTCCGTCTGAAAGCCCATCAGCTGCCTAATTTCCAGCTGAGCTTTCCTGTGTTTGCCTCAGCTCCCCCGCCATTCCCAGGCACAGCTCAGCCCCACTGACCCCCGTACATTCAAGCCTGTTGTGAGTCTAACCCTTGTGGAAGCCTGGGTTTGCCATACAGGCGAGAAAACACTGACCCGTTATGCTCTGTGGATCTCCCACCAAGTAAGAGGTTACTAATTTCCACTCCACTCCTGCATGCTTTGAGCAGGTGTGCGGAAGAAGATGAGTGTGATCTGGTATGAGGCCCTGCTGAACAGTGGCTTGTAGGTCAATCTGGAACTGAATGGTAGAGCTAAGATCCCTTAAACAGCTCCTTGCTCAGAGCCTACCCAATCTGTCCCCTCGTAACTGTGATGCCCTTCACTTCATTTGTATCAGTTTTTGTGTGTGAAAAAAAAGAAAATAGCACTCACTTAAAGCTATTACTCTATTTATAGCCTTTCTAAGTGTCTCCTGTTAGGGAGACAACAAACTGTAGCCCTTGGTCTCCTTAGGGCATGGCACCTTTGTTATTTACAAATTTCAGGCAGCCTCACCCTACAAATTAAATAACCAGCCAGTGCAAGAGTTAACATTTGTGCTTTAGTGGAACCGGGCGCAGTCGGGTAGGGATACATAGCCTTGTGCAAAGCATTAGTAATATAAGGAAGCAGCAACAATTTTCTTCAATATCAGTAATATGTAGAGCAATGGGGGCCTTGGATTTACTTGGAAATTGGTTGAATGTTTTGCAGACCTGCTGCAGAAAGATATATATATATATACACATATACACAGTGTTGCCTACAATTTCAGAGGGGCCATGGACCTCGTGGTGTAACAACGGAGCCACTAATGATTAGGAAGCAAAATCATAATTCCAAACAAATGCAGAATTGTGGGGAGTCCTTCTATTTACCAGGGCCAAGATGATGAGCCATTTTCACTTCAACTAAAACTTTAAAACTAAAGCCCAGAGATAAACGTAATTAATATAAGAGGCTTTCTCTATAGTAGTTGTTCTGTGGGCCAGCAGCTTGGCATGGTAGGAAAAAAAAGATCTGGACACAAACAGACATAGATTCCAAATATGAACGCTGCCATTTACAAGCTGTCTCCAGACCCCTTAATTTTCCTGAGCCTCGGTTTCTCCACCAGCATAGCATAATCATACCTGCTTTTGAAGATTCTTAGAAATATATGATGAAAACATTCACTTATGCGGTCTTTAAACATTTATTGATCAGCTAATAGGTGCCTTGCAATATACAGGGCACTGAGGACATAGCGATGAAAAAGTCCTTTTGCTCAACGGGTTTTTGTTTTTTGTGTTTACAGAGCCCATATAATAGGTGCTTTGTAAATGTTAGATTTCTCCACTAGTGACGATTATCACGTAGTAGAAAATGGAGAGATTGGTGGTGTGTGTCCATTCGTGTGGGCGGTGGAGACGGGAATGCATAGCATCATGGGACTTAGCGTGTCATCGTGCCACTGTTAGTCTGAGTTGAATCGGACCGTGTCCTATTAATTTTCCCAAACACGGACATGTGAATCAATTCCTTTCTGTTTCTTTTTCTCCCTCCTTAACCCTTCCTCTAAGGGGAATGCCTCTGCTACGAAGGTTACATGAAGGATCCAGTCCACAAGCACCTTTGCATTCGGAATGAATGGGGGACAAACCAGGGGTAAGTGAGGGGATGGCACGTTAGCTGTCCCCAGATGTCACCATTCCATCACCCAGGCATGATGTGGAGCAAGGGCGCGTAGGGAAATAGAGCGAAAGCGTAGCTATATTCCGAACAGCGAATGGGTAAAAATGTCACGGTGCATTTCCATATTTATACCGTCCCAGTGACGTCCATATCAACTTTTTTCTCCATTTACGAGCTCAGAGATGACACCTCTGACTCGCAGCCCCGCAGCCTCCAGCTGGGATCTGAAAAGCAAGCTGTCGCTTTCTTCCTTTTCACACCGCCACCAGCCTCGAGGATTCCACTGGCAGAACTTGGCTGCTGATTTTGTTGGAGACACGTGGAGCCACACAGACTCCCGTGCAGCTCTCCCAGAGCTTGATGAGCTTTGCGAGATGTCATGAGTGGAAACTTGTTTTCACGGGGACTGTCAGCAGGGAGGAAATGCAAAGATTCAGGGAGTGCTCTGTGTTGAGTAAGAATATTTTTTCCTGATCCCCGATTACCATTTCTCTGTGAGACCTTTGCTTTTCCCTAAGCACGTGTGACCGGATCAAAAGTTACCTTATCTAATGCTTTATAATTGTATTGTTTTTACAATTTAGGACTTTTTATTGTGATGAAATATTCATAATGGCAAATTTATCATTTTAACCATTTTTAAATGTATAATTCAATGGCGTTTACGTGGCTGTGCCACTATTACCACGGTCCACCTCATCTTGCTTTTTAAAAGCAATTTTCTACGTTGTTTTCGGTGCTGAGAGCTTGCTTTCTGCATTGGCTGGGTTGTACAGGAGACTGGGCGGAGAAACGCTAACTAATAATAGCAATCAATGGAACAGGGAAACCCAGGAAGAAATCAAGGCAAAAGCCATCTCCGAGGGATGGCTTGGAGTGCAGATGTGAAATGTGTTTGCAGACTGACAAGGTGGTGAAAAGCAGCCACTGCCATTTCATGCATTGCCATGGAGGACTCAGCCCCCTCTGTTTGATTCCGATGAGACCCAGCCTGGAATATTGAATGTAGTTCTGGACTCTCGGAGCAATAAATATGGAGACAAATGAGTGAGAGTTTGGAGAAGAGCAATAAAAATGATTGAGGAGCCCGAGGGAGTGATTTATGATGAAGGGATAGAACTCAACTCTGAGAATTTGGCCAGCTGATGACTCAGTCAAGGCATGATAGATGCCCGCGGACACTCAAAGAGGGCAAATGTTCTGGAAACGGTGGAGGTTGAGAGATAAGGACAAGAGAGAATGGAGTCAGGGACAGCAAATCTGAGTCACAGGTCAGAAAACTTGGGGAAGTCAAAGCGCCATGAAATTTTGCTGTGAGTAAAAATGAAGGATTGCTCCGTTTGCCCTGAATTGGAGATCACAGCAGAGAGGCAGTGCACAGAATTTAGAGGGAGATGTTTGTAGAGGGGTACATACATATGAGGTGGCCTGTTGTGGAAAGATTGGTGGGGAGGGCAGAAGACTGGCATATAGATGTCAAGTGGAGTGCCATTCGCTAGGTAAAGTCAGCTTAATCCCCTTGCTGTCTGACCCCTGAAGTGTTTGCATAGTTTCCGGGGAGCCAGGATTTTTGCTTCTGTGATGGCTGAGACTCTCAGTTGGCGCTGATTTTTGTTGAGTAAAATATTGTAAAGGGAGATGGATAACCAGCTCTCCATCTCTTAGCCTGCACGCTTGCTGCTGAAGAAAATGATGACAAATTCTCCTTTCCCTCTTTGCCCCGAATGATGCAGGCTGGCTCCCTGTCGTGGCGGGATGTGGTGGGTAATTGCGCACCCCTTGCCTTGTAGACAGATCTTGTGAGGATGGGCCTGACGTCACTTGGTAATTGCACAAGCCTCCGTCATTCCCTCTGGCTGTGTGTAGAGACAGTCTTAGGATGTAGATGAGATCCTCCAGGGAATTGGTGGAGGCCCCAGGTGGGTGTCACTTAAAATAAGACAGGCTAAAGCACTGAGATGCAGACTGACAAGAACATTAGCCCCAGGAAACAGACAGGGAGACCTAATCTGTCATTTCCATCTCTGATTTCCATTATTCTCTGAGCATCACTGTCTACGAGGTCTCATTTTGTACACTAATAAAATAATGGAGCAACTGTTAGGAGAGGAGGGAAAAAAATTTTTTTTAAAACTATCATGAGGATAATGGAACCAGAAGCGATAAGCAGCATGAGTTTATGTGTATATAAAACAGTGTCAGACAAATGACGGCATTTTCCTCATAAGGTGACAAGGTAAAGGAAAAGTGGAGGGTATCCTGCATCTTGATTTAAATCAGGGACCTGATGCCACCCTTCCTTAAATGATTCTTAAAAAATTAATCGAAATGGATTTGAACGTGAAGACTGTCACTTGAACTGATAACTGCCTGACAGATTCCCAACTAACAATATTACGTATTGGGGTATTATGGAAAAATCAGTGGTAGGCCTCATTTTCCTGACTATTTTATTTAATGTTCCAGAAGGTAGAGGTAAGCAGCCTGTGTGGGTATTTACATTTTTTACTTAGTATTCGCATATTGCATACCTTACAATAGCGGAACATTCCTTTGAAGTAGGACAACCAAACTCGAGGCCAGTAATAGTTAAAATGAATTCCCCTGTGAAGAATCTAGGTTAATGTACCAGGAGAAAAGTAGCAATAAGCATTCATGACTTTCAGACAAGGAAGAAAATTGATCAAGGACGCCAATACAAAAAATCACGAATGGATGATTCTGTGAGGCAGAGGCGTTTCACCTATATTCTTGTTCAGCCTCTGCCTTGTGCTCCAGTGTACCTGGACCCGTGTGTGTGTGTGTGTGTGTGTGTGTGTGTGTGTGTGTGTGTGTGTGTGTGCGCGCGCGCACGCGTGCGCATGCACACGCGCGTGCTGTGGTTTGTTTATAGAAATCTTATTCTGTCATTTATTCTTTCACTCATTCATGCGACCAATGATATTCACTCCATTACCTGTTATGGCCCAGGATAAGCCAGGTTACTAATTATAAGGAGAAAGATGTGATATCTGCTCTGGAAGAACTAATGGTCTCAATAGATAGATGGGCACATAATAGAAAATCACAAATGGATTTGAAGAACTATTAGAGTAAAGGTGTGAGCAAAGGTCTATGTGATTACAATTTAAGGAATGACTTCTGTGATATCTAAGAATCTGGAATAGGGCTACATGGGGAAGTTCGATTTTGAACTGTTCTATTTAACAGATAACAAAGGTAATTCTGAGCAAAGGGAACAGCATGTGTCAAGGCACAGCAATGTAAGAAGCAAGGTTTTTCTAGGAATGGCAAGTAAATAGCTTATAATAATACTATAAGAGTGCAATTTACAGAGACAGGACAAGAAGCTGCTCAACTGGGGAAGGACTAGATCTTGGAGAGCTCTCGCTTTCTAAGGCTTTGGACATGAAAACTCCATGTATGTGCCCCTCGAATTGTTAGCAGGAGAGAGAAGGTCCAAGGTGTCTGTATATTTGGTGGGATAATCCCTCATTACACATTATTCTGAACCCCTCCAAAATAATTTAAAACAATCCTAAAAAAAATAACAACAACAACAAAAAACCCACAACAAACATACAAATCTTGAAACTATCTAAATTTGTATTGATCTAGGTTCTGCAAGTAAAGCATAGTCCTAAAATTATCCTGTAGATAAAAAAGTTTTCAAGACCCAGCAGCAAAGAATAATAGAGAATCTGGGACCGTAGGTACAAAGCATGTGAATCAAGGGGGTTGCATCCTTTTATTGGTGGCTCTGGTTATGCCAAAAATAGCCAAGGAAAAGCGAGGCAGGTTGAGGCATTGGTGTGTGGCTCTGGGTGGTGAGCCCAGTTACTGCAGCCCACCCAAGTGATGGGACCCAGGTGGCAGATGGTAAAGTCATTGAACTCTTACACAAGAAGTCCCTATCCACAAAAAATAAAAACACCTTTAAAAAGATGTAAATAAAGTCATGGATGATAGCTTTCTAATGAGTCATTAAGAGAACATGGGATGTTTGAGGTCGCATCTTGGTCTTTAAGGTTGGCGATGAAATTATTCTGTGGCACCCCTGGTGACATGGTCACCCGACAGAGAACCCAGGATGGAAGGGTACTGCCCTGTGTGGGGCTCTGCCATGTCTTCTGTCTAACCTGAGTGAATTCACTGAATAACTCCCATCTCTGTAGCTGCATAGACTCAGCCGAGGACTCCTCGAGTCTGATTTGTTTGCTAGGGTGAAAGGACAAATCACAAATTTTCACAGATGAGAAATGAAAACAATAAACGTGGGTGGAGGACACAAGAGAGATTGCTTTACATGAACATGTTAGAGGAGGAAAAACAAATTTATTTAGCTACTTTGGAGATTATTAAGAAAGCCTATAATGGTGGGTTTTTTTGTTAAATTAAAAGCGTACCCGAGAGCCTCTGGATACATTTTTCAGAACCACTATTAGATTAAATTCATGCATTTGAAGATTCCGGTAAATAACAGTCTGATTTCTTATTCTGGCATCTCAGATACAGAGGGCAACTCCAAGGAGATTCCCCACTAGAAAACTCTCACGTATCACTCGATTTCAGTGCTGAAGGATGGCGACAGAGTGATAATTCATGACATGGCGAGAGATCTGTAGAAAATGAACAGGTATTCCTCCAAGGCTTTCCAAGCCGTTGCCAGGAATGGCCCTGCTCATCGGGACACCCCCTCCTTACACTGCCTACTCAGGAGGCAACACGCTTACCATGCCATCTCCAGATTAATGCGTAGACACGCACATGCGTGTACACACGTGCGCACATACACAGCACACGCCGCCTTCTTACGTCCTCTCCATTGTCCCAGGCGTTTATTGATCTGTCCTGTTTCTACAGCTCCCGCCTGCTGCTCACCCTCCTGGGCGTGACTGCATAGGGAGTCTAACTCTATATAAGGAGGAAATGCCCCGTGCCACGGGATCCAATTTTCTTTTCATGGGGATGGT